TAAAATAGTTAAAACTAAAGGTAAGAACGCTATATACTATTTAGATTATAAGAAGGTTAAGATTGAGAATAGTAGCTTATATATAAGAGGAGGACGCTAGTATAGCTAATTATAGAGTCTATTAGATAAAGAGGATTAAAGAATAAAAGGCTTCTAGATTAAAGGAGAGTCGAGTGAATTGATCCGAATAATAAAATAAAGTGTAATAATAAAGAGAAGAGGAGAGGTAAAGAAAGAGAAGTTATAGAAATTAGTCGAGCTAGTATTCTAGTAAGCGAACCGGTCTTATAAGGAAGATGGCCGGTATTTAGAATTAAGAGTCTATAGTTTAGGAGGAAGAGCTATAGTGTTGCTTCTGTTTAGAGGTTATACCTTTTTAGTTAGATTAGGTCGTGTCTTAGCTGGTAAATAAACTATAGTTTAGCATAGAAACACTAGCTTAGAATAGGAGATCGGTTTTAATTTAGCGGTAACTTAAGAGTAATTATACTAAAGTGTATTTAAACGGGCGGAGCCTACTATACTATTCTATTTATTTACTAAATTAGTAGCAATCTAATTATTAATCGGATTATCTTACGTGCAAAAGATTTAAGTGCGCTAGGCGGAATCTACTTAACTGGTAGGATAGGTTAATTATAATTATATAGTAATAATTGCTAGATAGTAGGACTTTTAGCTACTAGATGTTAGGATTTACGTATTTATACATAAAGACTAAATTAAGTAGTAGAAAGTTAATTCTCTATCTAGATCGGATTGGGCTTCTTTTATATTTAATCCGATTGGCGCCTGCCCTATAGTAGGCGCGCGTTGACTGAATCGGTCCTATATAGAAGCGTAAGACCTGGATCCGTAATAATAATTAACTCTACTATTTCCTTTAGGAGCTAATTATTAGTTAATAGACTCTAAACCTTAATAGCCTTTACTTACTCTATTTTAATATTCCTCTTTCTAGTTATAGGCTTAGTTATAGGCGCTTCTACTATAGTTATATTATTTATTAGTTTAATCTTTTATATATTTATAGCTCTAGTTCTACTATCTATAAGGTTCATTAGTTTAGTAGTAGCTATAATAGTAAGATAGCGGGTCTATTATAAGGGAAGTACCTTTTATTATATATTCCCTTTATAATTATAGGCTTTAGTTAAGGTTTTATAATCCTTATATTACTATTAATTATAGTAGGTCTATTATTAAACCCTTAGCTAGAAGCTTCTTATATACCTCTATAGTACCCCTCTTAATGTCTAGTATTTTCTTAAGTAGCTGCGTTAATACCCTATCTAGATTCTACTAAATAGGCCCTATACTTGCTATTAATAAGCTCTTTCTTTCAGTACTCTAACAACTTCAGGCTAATCTCTTTTTTATTACTTTCTAAATTATTCTTACTAGGCTCTAGCAGAGTAATTAAAGAAGTAGATATTTTTATACCTTTTATTATATAGTATTATTCTAGCACCTTTAGCTTATTCTTTCTTAGTAAATAGATTAGCTATCTAGGATTCTTATAGGTGCCTTTATTAATCTAGTTTTCTTCTATATAGTAGTATTCTTTCTTAACTATCTCTAATAGTTACTTATAGTTAAAGAAGAAGTTATACTATTTTCTATAATCTCCCTAGTAGTAAAATGAATTTAAAGGTCGCTAGCCTATAGAAGATACTCCGAAATTCTAATTAGTATAGAAAGTATTATTTCTAAATATATACTAGTCCTAGAAAGGAGACTAACTAGTATAATTTATAGAATAAGAATAAAAGGCTTTTTATCTTTCTCTAAATAGCTACGAACTTCTATCTATTATAATATATATTCCTATATTAAGGTATCTATATTATTAAACTACTAATACCTACTTAGTTAAGACCTATTATAGTAAACTATTATACTAGATTATTAGTCTTACTCTTATAAATAGATAGAAGTGTCTTTTAAACCCTAGAGATTATTAGAACTATAGGCTAAGTAGTCTATAAAAGACTATAACTCTATTCTAATATTACTACTATTATTAGAAGAAATATAGGCACCTCTAGAAATAAAATATCCTTCGCCCTTAATATCTTTAGACCTTAAGTACTACTAGTTAGATACTTAAGAGTATCTACTAAATCGACCGCCCCGAATTACTTAAATATCTAAAAGAATTTCTTAATAAGAACTAGCTTATCGACCTTCTCTATTAAATACTTAAATTAAAAGAATACTAGGTTATAAGTTATAAACTTATACTACTTAAAAAGACTTTCCTAGATCTTAACTAGCAACTTCTAAAGAAACTAAGTATACTATAAGTATTAATCGAGTACTCTATTATCTACGCACTTTTAGAATATAATAATATATTTATAAGTAAAGACTTTTAGGTTAGTAACCTTAGTTTTATACTCTAAAAGCTAGCTAATAAAGAAGAGTTAAGTTCTAATATACTATATAGAGTTATTATTGTAAAATTCTAATTTAATATACTTTTTAAGCTTAACCTAATTATTATTCTTCTACTCCTCTATTCTCTTAATTATAGCTTATATTTGCTTAGCATAGAAGTCTAGAAGCCTAGTAGCTTACTCTCTATTAGTAAGATAGTAATCTCTTATAGTAGCCTTATACTAATAAAGCTAGTAAATAGTATTAATACTATTAAAAAGAGAATGTTTAAGAGAGCCTACTATAGGTATTAGTATCTTTAAAGCTATTAGGCGAGATTTAAAATAGAATATAAGCTAGTCTATAGTATTTCTTATATTAGTAGAGGATTCTATAGAAGAGGCTCCACCTATAAAAATAGATATAGGCTTTAGAGCTTCTCTAAAAGAGAAAGTAGGTAGAGAAGCACTATTATTATTACTATTTAATAAACTAGTAGCATCTCTAGTAGTATAAGCTTAGGCGGAACTAAGTCTAAAAGATAGAGTAAATATCTTTAGGGGTAAAGAATAGATTAAATTGAAAGTTCTAATAAGAGTAAATAGAAATCCTTTAAGAGTAAGTAGTATAATAGTAAATAGTATTTAAAAGCTTTTAATAAGAATACGGCGCTAATTTCTTATAAGAAAAGAGTTCTATAAATACTTACTAGCTATTTTATAGTAACCTCTATAGCTCTACTCCTATTTACTACTTTCTAGATTATGGAGATATCTCCTATTAATTAGAGTTTTATTCTAGCTAGAATACAACCCTATTCTTTTATAAAGGTAGATCCGAACTATCTAGAACTCCCTTATAGCTATACTCAAAATAGATAAATAATAATCTTGCTAAAAAGATAGCTTCTAGCTCTTTCTACTAGATACTATTTTCCTAAATATATATCCTATTATTCTAAACTATCTATACTCTTTATAGCTATATAAATCTCTTTCGAACCTCTATTTAGTAATTATATCTAAGTCTATATATTAATATTAGTTACTCTAATGTAAACTAAGACTTCTTAAGGTTAATTTAATATTTATATTAAAATATTAAGTTAAGGGAATCCTCTCCCTAACTATTATTAGGTACGTTAATACTTTATACCTAGTAGAGTCTTTAGAGTTCTTTTAATATTATTAAGATACTAAGTTAAGAGAGTTCTCTCTCTAACTATTATTCTACTTATTAATACTCTACACCTAGTAGAGCTCTTAGAGTCCTTAATATCTATAATTCCTTACTATAATATATTTATAGCCTATATTCTATTCTTAATACAAATTCTAATTCTTATAATAGCTCTTAACCGCGAATTATATACCTATATATTACCTTATAAATCCTCTAGTATAGTTACTAAAATATTATAGGTAAGAGGTTTAAGTATAGAACTTAGATAAGTAGGTTGTATATATTCATAGAGGTAAGATATTAAGGTAGAACTATTAAGGTAGTAATAGAACCGCGGTGATAGATTATATAAGGCTAGATAATATATAGAATAAGTATAGTATTCCTTAATACTATAATATAACTAATACTTAACTATCTTAGTTATCTTAATAAAGAATCTTAAATCTCTACACGCACACTCTATACTAGCTCCTATATAATAAACCTTCTGCACTACTATAATACTAAGAATTTTTTTATACTATTATATTACCTATAGTCTTAGTAATACTACTACTATAATCTTACTATAAACTAGATATATTATTTATAATTGTAAGTTATAAAGACTTAAATAGAAGTTTAAAGAAGATTTTCTCTTATAAAACTAGAAGAGAATAGATAGTATAGACTAGATTTAATATCATTATACTATTTTTTATCTACTACTATAGCCTTTTACTAAGTAAATCTAAAGTAAGTATTTTAATATAACTATCTAGATTATTAAAGATAAGATTTCTTTATATAAAATAATTTATTTATATACTATTTAGAAGTAATAAAAATAGAGTATATATATAGTAAAGTAGCTAGTGTACTTATTAGCTCTTGTTCAGATTGAAAAGATATAGAATTATATTAGAAATAGTATTTAGAGAATCTTTTTACTAATTAGTAATAAGATTATAGTATAGCGGCAAGCTATATATAAGTTTTATACTAAACAGGCGTCTTTACTACAAGATATAATAGATTGCAAGTATATAGATTTTCTTAGAAAGCTCTAGCAAGTAGAGAAGTATAGTAGAGATAATAGCTTTAATAGATAAAGCGATAGTAGGAAACAAGAGGTTCTAGTACACTTGCATGTGATATAAACCTTTCTTAATATAACGATTACCTATTAATCTAGTCTCTATCTTACTTAATAGCAAGCTATCTAATACATGAGCTTAGAATCCTATATATACACAAAATGACTGAAAAATGCATCGTATCGCATCCACATCGAACACAAATATCATGACATCATCGTCTTCTTCTTGTCGTGCTGCCCATCCTCGCCAGACTCCGCCCGTGCCAAACAGCTCCGTCTTGATCCGGCCCGGCTCGACGCCTGCGCCGACCAGCCATGCAAACATCTGGGTCATGAATCCCTCCGGCCCGCAGATTTATTATCCCGTCTGCGCATTGTCGAGGAAGAGGTCCGCGCTGCGCCTGGGTTTCTGCAGGTCCACCCAATCTAGGTGGTAGAAGTCGACGCCGCGCTTCTCGTGCGCGGCGGGTGAGCCGGTGAAGACGATGCCGCGCATGACGGGCTGCTGTTTCTCGACGGAGGAGATGTGGTCGCTGAACGCGCGGGCGCCGTAGATGAAGTGGATTTTGCGCGAGGGCAGTGAGCTGGAGCTGGAGCTGGAGCTGATAAGTGTGTCTAGGATGGAGACCATCGGGGTGAGGCCGACGCCCGCGGAGAGCAGCACGACGGGACTCTTGTTGTTGTTGTTGTCCGATAGACAGAAATCGCCGTACGGTAGGAGACTTCGAGGATGCCGCCCCCCCTTCTCCCTTCTTGGTACGTATACAAGTTGCTGGGTTCAAGAGCACGTCAATGTCCAATTCGAGACCTGCTACCTAACCTGTAATCTCAGAAATCTCACTTTACTAACACAGACTTGAATGAACTACCAAAAGTTCGCCAAGGGACAGTGCCTCCCTTTAACACTCAATTAAAAGTCCGCACCCTGCTAATGAATCGCCGAGCCTCGTTTCTACAAATGAATATCTTGCCAGTCCTCTGCCGCGGACAGCCAACAGTTGGGCAGCAGCATAAAGTCCTCGAACCCACCTGTAACGTTCGCATCGAGCGCTGCGTTCCAGTCGAACGAAGGTAGAATATTATACCGTTGATCGGTCAACGGCGGATAGACGCTTTCAGTAGCAGCGGCTTCTGAAGTGGTCGACAGCTCATCGATCATATCGATTCCCTGCCGACTCACTCTATTCTGCGCGTCGTCTGTGCCGCCGGAGCTCGACAGAAGAAACTCAAAGATCCGCATGGCCCAATTCCCTGGATCCCACGATTCACGGGCCTCGTTCAGCACAATCTGGCAATTGTCAAGGGACGCCCGTCCTATTTCGGCAGCGGCCGGATCGAATTTTCGTGCTTGCCGGTAAAGAATAATCCCAGCGAGGAAGAACGCGGAAAAAAGCTCGTGTGGTAATGCAAATATGACTGATTTGGTCATGAGTGTGACAGCAGTTGATGCTATAGTTAATGCTGCGGACTCTACGACTGGAGAAGACTGAATTTCGTTGTATGCTGTTTGGGAGGTAGACGACACCGCTTGTCCGGGTCCCGCCATATGTAGAAGAATGAGGTGATAGTGGAACAGGATCTTAAGAATTACAGCGAATGTGGGGAGTGGTCGGTTATGTTGAGACCAATTCATTGCCGGCTGGAGCTCTGATTGCCAACTCTTCAACTGACTATGCAGATCGTCTACTGTTGTTAGGCTACGTACCGGACCTATACGGTGATAGACAACATTTCGTAAAATGAGAGAAAGTTTGGCCGTTTGGATTTGGTAGAAGATTGAATGCTTGCAGTTACAATCGGAGTGTTGGTGAGAGCAGGCTGCGTCGTTGTCGAAGTCATCGTGTGACAAGGGTTCTGTGTCGCATATCGACATGTTGATTCGGAACGACCGGCCAAGCAGCGTAGACAAATACGCGTCTCGAACTGAAAGGGTCCACCACAAGCGTCGCAGCAAACCCTTGTCTTTGGAGTGTGCATGTGCAGATACTGTAGACCTGTGTATACCGAGAGACACCGCGATTGTCACTCCAAACCCAATCCAGCTACACGGGTTCCAATGGTTCTTTAACTGAGGTCCACAGAAACTGAGCATAATGGCCGCTTCCAACAAGATGATTTTGTCTTTCTCGTAGCCCACGGTAAATAGAACCTTTGCCTTTTCATAGTACAAAGACCGCGCTTCAACTCTTGATTTGAACCCTGATTGATGTATCAAGGAGGTGTCACAAAAGGTTGCGCCGATGAAGCAAACGGTATGAAGCAATATCCATGGGAGCTTTCGTTCGCAGTACGCCCTTTCGAACTCGGCTTTCTTTACTATAGAGTAAAGCGGGTGGAACCTTTCAAGATATGCGCTCACAAAGGCATCCGCCGTGTCATTTTCGGGATATTCGAATGCGCCCTTTGCTTTCAAATACGCGATATCGTGGGCCTCCAAGTGGGGTGGATGGACATCCTGTTCGATCACAGTCATAGATGCACTCTCGCCGATATGGTCGTGCACGTCATGTAGCCTTGGGTTTCTTCCACGTTGAAACTCTTCAAGCGCGAATGTCAACGGTGACGGTTCGCCGAGGAGTACTATTCCGTGCCTCTCCAGCGTGCTTTCGTTCTGCTGTTTCAGGAATTCTTCGAACATCTCCTTCAATGAGCAAGCCTTCGAATTCGTGCGTATCCTTGGCGCGCGATTAGAGGCTTCCTCCGTACAGGGTTTCTCTGAAGACGTAGAATCATTCAACTGAATCGAATCCGGAGACGCATGGGATGAGGAACCAGCCAAGCTCTCTGGTTGGGCATGGCCACGCAAACTGTCACTTGCGCTCATGGATGTGTCCCGAATAGTAATTGGAGATCCAGGATTCGCTTGGGGCTCGTCCTGAGGGTCGACTTGTGGTGTAGATCTACCCACGGCTGCTGGTTGGTCTAAGGATTGATGATGTCTTCGCGAGTTCTTTCTATCATACATCCCTCGCTTAGAAACAATCAATATGCAGTCATCGACGTGATCCATTTGGCAGCGACTGCAAGGCACACCCATCTGCGCCGCATCGCATTTAATCTTGCGCTGGTTGCATCTCCTGCAGGCTTTGGACGCTCTGAGGCGAGCTCTGATGGTCCCATCCTGCATGTTGCCCCAATCGGTACTTGTTGAGACGTCCGTACTACTTTGGCCGCGAGGTCTCAGGTTCTGGTGGACCAACGAGGAGTCGAACTCTGCGTTGTCCTTCCTTTCCGCGGGGTATCGCTTCGTCAATAACCTGCTCCCTGCGCAGATATGGGCAATCACGACTAGAGTGTCAAGAATGCCTAGATGTTACTCGTCGCAGTGGAGATGTCGCACTTGTGGTCTCACTGAGCGTTTTACTCAGAGGCAGGACTCTTGTGAACTGCTGACTGGGGATGGTGGAGTCGAATCTGACGCGGGGAAGCTCTTGGCGCGGGAAAGTTCTTCGGCAGATTGCAGGCGTTGCACGGTTCGGCGCCTGCTCGGCTCATGAGTTGAGCGTTTCTCTATGCGCGCCCCACTAAAACTGACCCAGCGCTTAAGCCTATTAGCCTATAACTTCACCGTCGCTATATTTCACAATATAGGAAAGCTTAGTACTAGACCTTAATTTATTAGAGTAATATATAAGATGTTACATAAGGTTAAAAGGTATAATAAAGAAAATAAAAAGAAAACTCTATAAGTAAACTATATAACTTAGTTATATAACTCTAGAATAACTAAAGAACTAAATACTAAGAAATACTAAGTCTAAACTATAATAGTAGCTTCTCTTTAAGAGCTAAGTTTCTATAAGATATTTAAGCTAGATTTATATTTAGATTTAGTATTAGAGTTTTTTTCTAATTTTTTAAAAAATATAAAGTAGCTATAAATCTTAAGCTCTAACTAGTAAATATAGCTAGACTTAAAAGAATAGTATATAAGAAAATAATTAACTTCTATAGAAGCTATTAGCATATAAAATAGAGAACTTTAGAAGTTTTTATTTAAGCTAATGTAGTCTATAGGTGCTTTAAAGTGCTTATAGTAGTTTTATAAATTAAGAATCTAGTTTATACTCTATATATCTTCTATTAAAGTATCTAAGTAGAGGAAAAGAAATAGTAGAGCTTATTTAAGAAGTAGATTATTAGTAGAGAGCTAGATTAGTAAAATATAGAATATAAAGTAGTAATACTAAGACTAAGAAATCTTTAGGTAGTAGCTATATATATTAATAATCTTAGTAATATAAAAAGAACTACAGCACTTATTTAAGAGCTTCCAAAGTAGATAACTAGATTATAGGTTATATATATCTAGATATACTTTATTACTAATCTAGTACTATAGTATAAAAGCCTATTAGTAGTTAATAGTATTCTTATAGAAAGCTTATACTAGATATATTTACTTCTTTAACTTTTAAGTAGTTATAGTTATTTTATAATAGAATTAAACTACTTCTTTATAGTCTAGTATAGTAGATAGATTTACTTTAGAAATATATAGTTTCAAGTTAAAGTAGAAGTATTAACTATAGCTAGTAATAAATAGAGAGACTTAAGTAGTTTTTAATATATGGTTATTATATATAAATTCTATATAAAATAGCTAATCCATCTAGTTGTTTTATTAAAATACTATATATACTTATAGATACTACTCTAGAATTATGTTAGTATTCCCTATTTAGCTGTTAGTCTTAGAGTAGTAGTCTATAAAAAGGTTATACTAAATATCTAGCTAGAGATATAGTTTCTATTAGAACTAGCTAATAAATTAGCTTTCTTTATTAAAAATAATTAATCTAGAAGTACTATAGTACTTCTACATATAATAAAAGAAGAGCGCTATAGTAGTTAGTATATCTATCTTACTATAAGAAATAAAGTACTTTATTTTAAATAGGTAGTCTATAACTATAAGATTATTCTTATATAAGTTTTTCTAGTAATTTCTACTCTTAGAGAACTTAATAATAAAATTAAGAGAGATATTAGACTAGTAATATTCTAGTAAAAGTAAGAGCTTTAGTAGACTATAGTAGTAATCCTATAAGACTTTTATATAAGTATAAATAGAGTAGTTATTAATAAATTAGTAGATATTTTATATTATTTCTAGCTACTAATAGAAGTATACTAAAATATTTAAAGTTATTATTCTTCTAGAATATTTAATAGCTAGAGAAGAGTAGGTTTTATATAGAGTATATATTCTAATCTAGTAAGATTCTAGTAAAAACTAGTAGTTTTAGTAGATTGTTTAGTTATTCTCTTTATAGACTTTAGATAGTAGAAAGCCTTTTAGTATATAGATATCCTACTATAAGTAGATTAGAATTTCTTAGGCTTATTTGTTTATTTATAAATAATATTAATAGTCTAGTCTAGTTTAGTTTTAGGAATTCTATCTAGTATTCTAATTATATTAGACTAGACTACTAATAGTTCTTATTTATTCTTAGTATCTTATAGAGAGTTAGAGAGGGTAGTAGAGATCTTAGTAGAAACTATATAGGTTTTACTAGTAGCTAAAAGTATATATTTAAGCTAAGAGTTAAGATTATACTATTTTAGTACTATTTGAAACTAGTCTTTTCAAGAACTACTCTTTCTTTTAGTAGAGAAGTCTTTAGGCTAATAAGTTAGAATATTTATAGTTATATTTAGACTACTCTTCTAGTAAGTAATCTTAAAGTTAAAGTAAGATAGAAATTTACTCTAGCGGATCTAGTAATAGTTAAGAGACTTTATAAATATAAAGTACTTAAGATTATTATAGCCTAAGATAATATTAATAGATTCTTTAGTCTCTTTAAGTTTAGGCTACTAGACTTAAAAGGCTTTAATAATAGCTAATAGTTTCTTATTATAGATTTTATAGTTATATTTAGTAATTGATATCTTAGTAGAGAAGTAAACTATCAATTAAAACTAATTCTTTAAAGCTAGTTAATAAAGTACACTAGTAATAATATAGTCTAAGGTATCTATTTCTATAGTTACTAGCTTATTTTAGTTAAAATACTATAAAATTAGTATAGTAGTAAAAGTAAGCTTTAGCTTATAAAAAGTGTATCTATAATCTAGAGTCTATAGAAAGAGATAATTATGCTTTAAACCAAGCTTTAAACTAAGCTTTAAACTAAGCTATAAACTAAGCTATAAACTAGACTAAAAGCTAAAAGACTAAATAAAAAGCTAGAGAGTAAGTTTGAAAAAAAGCTATTTTCTTTATATATAATAATGACTACTAGGGGGATTTAAGGGGGGGAGTGTCCCTTAATTTAAAAGAGAATAGAGAGTTTAAGGCAGAGAATCCCTCTTAGAAAGAAAGCATATAAATTCTATTTAAGTAAGAAAGAATTAATTCTCTTTATAAAATCTATAATACTAAAAGCTAAAGTAGATAGTATAGTATAAATCAAGCTAGAC